TGATTAGGTCAAGAAGCAAAGAGGTTGCTCTGTCATCCCAAACCGCACGGTCCTTGCTCAACTGATTCAAAGATCGACAAAGGTATTAGTAATGCACCGGTAGGAAAATGTAAGCACCAGTAAGGAAATGGTATTAGAATCTGCTGGAAACTGAAAACTGAGCATTGTATTTGAATATGCTGGTATAGATTTACTATTTGATTGGTAATGCTTGCTTCTATCATGGATACTACTAGTTGCCTGAAAGTGTAGGAAGCATGGAGCAAACAAAAACTATATAACTAGAACACTTATCCCATAAATGAAATAGGGAATCAATTGGCCCTGATCTAATTCTCCACCACGACCATACCCCTCATCAAACAAAGAGATCAAAAAGGAGACAACCACAAAGCCAACACACACAAAAAAGAGAGAGCAATCACAGCCATTTGGCTTATGTCAACATAATGGAGGATGGAACTCCCTGCATATCAAGTCTGCAACTGCGCAAGAGATGAAGCAAGCAAATTAACCAGAAGAATGACCATTCACTGTCACTGAGGCATTACCAAAGGAGAACTACACCCCAAATTAAAAAAAGCAAATTGACAATTTATATCGCTAACTTGCCTTTTGTGGCCGTTTGCGGCGTTTTGAGCAGAGGTTGTAGTGGCTGCCAGTAGTTGGAGAGCAAGACGAAGCTGACGACACTGCCAGTTTGGGCAGTGTTGATCACAACCAGACGAACCGTCCCTTCTATGTCTGCAGTGAAATTATAGAGCACACTTGTAAGATGAAAAACATAATCTAAAAAATTGAACATTGAAAGGGGTGAAGAACAGTACATGTGTACTGTGTAACATAATCTGAACTAGAATATCAACAAAGAATTCATTGTGTACGAAGGTAACAGTAATGAAGCCTTAAGCTATACTTTGGGCAAAGGGGTAATTTCTTTGGCCGCAGGGTTTATCTTCTGCATCTGGGACTTGGAAGATGTAGAGATAAGTGAAAACATCCGTACTTGACATCTAAGTGTGACAATTTATTGCGTATTTGGCATTCCCCCACTCCTATTGTACCGAGCCCAACCTTACAAACCGACCAAACAAGATTAGAACGATAATAACCATAAATGGTTCGGGAACTATGTTACTAGTAGCAAAAATTGACTGCAAACCCAAACAACGGTTAGCAAAAGCTGATTCGAACGTTAACTAAGCCATTAAGCATCATCTACCAGATCTGTTCGGAAAGTATTCAGAAACATAGTCCTAAAATGTGTGCGTACAACACTTCTGTAATATAGAAACAAGATGTGGGGATTTCTATCCGACACATAGAGGTGCAAACATGAGTACATGTTGGATATCAGATCTGGGTTTAGGGGGGCTCACCGTGCTGGCTGAAGGCGCCGTTGATGGAGGCGGGGTCCGGGGAGGGAGGCCGAGACCACTGTCACCGAGGCCGGCGAGAGTGAGGGAAACCCTAGGCGTGCGGAGGTCAAACTACAACATGACCAGCTGCGGCTTTGAGGCGACCAGGTGAGAGGACGGAGGCGTGTGATTCGGGTTACCTGGCTAGCCGAAGGCGCCGTCGATGGAGGCAGGGTGGGGGGAAGAGGACGATGGCACTGCCACCGCAGCCCCGGCGAGGAGAACGGCGTACAGAGGCGGCCACGCCCGGATCCGGTGGCCACCAACGCCGCCCGTTGACGCGGCGCAGACTACCGCCGGTAAATGCGCGGAGCGATGGCGAGGAGTGGCGCGTGTGAGTGGAACCCTAGCGACCGCGACGGGAGAAAGGGGAGGAAGTGAGAGACGCGACCGAGCAACGGGTATAAGAGCCTGCCGTTCGGCTGGTGCGGCTGGTGCTGGGCTGCCGAACGGCTGGACTGATAAGCCCAGCACCAGCCAGCCCAGCCAGCCTACCGAATAGGCCGGACAGCTGTGGAACACGTCCATCCCGGCACTTGCTCGGAGAGAGACGATGTGGATGGGGAGAGGTGCGGCACGTAATGTGGCATCCCACGCGGGATCTCGGAGAGGATGGAGGCTAGGAGGGGCAGTGGGGCACCCCCTCTCTGTTTTGTGCTCCATGAACAAACCGATTCTACGACAGATGTAGATTATAGTATATACAAAGATTATCCTTGGTCAAAGAGGACAAAAATTAAAATTTTGAAATACAGTGCGTCTTATATTTTGAGATTAAAAGAGTACTAAATTTGTTTAAGTGTGTCACGGGAATAGTTACTTGTGTGCATGCTTGTACTTTCTGAGAGGCTGTCTGCATGCCATGCACTTCTTTTCACACTGGCGGTAAGACAACCGGGAATACCTTGCCCGAATATATTTTGGCAATTGAACAAGCGTCCATTGTTAGAATATATGGCTTGACCCAAATAAGAAATTCTGAAACTCCTAGAGAAAATTTAAAGGCCCATTTATGTGTACAAAGAGTGGAAGTGTGAATCCTTTAGTCCCACCTTACTCGTGGAAGTGGAGGTAGCCATGCTTAAATATAGAAGTCCTCTCCACTTTCTCAAGTCTAGTGTGAGGAGGAGAAAGGAAGCCCACACACACGCACTTGCCTCGCCTCGCTAGGCATGGTGAAGGGCGCGTGGCACTAGCGTGAATGGTCCGCCGAAATCTAGCTCCTCGCCTTGCAGGGACACAACCTCTTTTTGCGGTTTTAATTTTTGGTTACTTGACCTTTAAGTTTGCAAATAGGAGTCCTAAAAGGTTTAGATCGTGATCGTGGCACGAGATCGGGTTGGACAGGCCTATACAATAAGCAACCTATAGACTAATGCCAAAATGCATCTAATCGAGCTAGGGTTTTGCCTCTTCTCGCTGCGGCGTCGTCGCCATAGCCTCTCCATCCCGAGCACTTGCGTGCACCGACGATCAGGAGAGCAGGTCTTCAGAACCCTCATCCTTGCGATCATGCACCGGAAGAGGACAAATAAGGTTTTTGGGAAGCACTCTGATCTTCACGTGACTGCTCCCAACCTCCACGACGGCTCAAGTTCTAAATGCTGAGTCGGGACGTCGTCTTCGTCGCCAACAGGCTAGTCGCATCTACAACGGTCAATGACAACATTCCTCCACCTCTAGTCGACAATCTTTCACCACCACCAGCAATTAGGTCTCCACCATCGGTGATGGCGTCTCGTTGTGCAAAAGAAGGGTACACCCAGCATCATCCAATCTACTACTACCGCATCCCTGCTATTTTGATCATGTTGTCATTCATGCTGTTCTATATAAGTAATATGTTAGGGCTGCATATCTAAGATCGTCATGATTTATGTTCTGGTTTTAAACTAGAAATTGCCTAATTACTCAAAATCCAACAACAAACAAACCAGCCTGCTATATGTGGGGCGTGCCATACGTCCATGCCAGGTTTTCTTGCCTCCACCACCCATAAATACACAGTCGCTACCTACAAAATCGATCGTTACACACATCCATCCATCCCTCTCGATCGATCAAGAAATAAACAAGCTTTTGCCAACTAACTTGCTTGGTCACCAGTGGCCTCCTCGCCCTCCTCCTTCCTGCTCATGGCGGTGGTGTTGATGGCACTATTTGATCACATGATGATCCATCATTACCATTTTTGTGTCACCGTACCATCCGGTGTTCACAAAAATGTTACCTTTGTTGATTTGTGCAACATCGAGTTGTATTCACAGAATAATCCAATGTTGCATTAATTTCACCATATCATCCATTGGTTTCAGGAAGTATGACCACTGGAGCAGCTTGTTGGATTGCTTGGGAATATTTATACCCCTCCAATCAGACATTTTTAGCGGGCTAGAGACTAGAACAATTAGAGGGACTTGCTAGACTTGAGGATGATACACTCCAATAACATATGAGAGCTTACTGATTATACCACATCGTCAATCCGGGTGAGAAAAAAAACTAGTTGCTTGGCACGGCTGGAGAAAATTAGAATAGAATGCATGTTATCAAGGGATTGTTTCCATCTAGGCCTGATTCACTCTTTGTTAGGCCGTAGTGCAAATTTTTGTCACGCTATAACTAAAACACATCCACGATGGCCTCGTTCGGCTGGTATGGAGGAAGAACTGTTCACAGAGGAATTTTACTATTCATGGATGGTTTCCCTCACAAATTCCTCCAGATTCATCCAGATTTCTCCAAATTCCTCGAAGCGAACGGGGCCAATGGGTGGGTGGGACCCAGTTGGGTGGGCCGATGTAATTCTTTCGCTCTTTATATAAAAAAAATAATAATAGTAGTAGTACTACTACTAATAATAATAATAATAATAGTAATAATAGTAATAATAAAAATAATAATAATAATAATAATAATAATAATAATAATAATAATAATAATAATAATAATAATAATAATAATAATAATAATAATAATAATAATAATAATGATGATGATGATGATGATGACGACGACGATGATAATAATGATGGTGATGATGATGATGATGATGATGGTGATGATGATGATGATGATGATATAGATAGATAGAGTAGATAAAGATTTCAGTATACATACATTAGTGTTGGTCAAAAAATTAAGTTAACATATTTGAATTTTAAAATGGGTGTGCGTTGTATATTTTGGGATACAAGGAGTACTAAATTTGTGTAAGTGTGTCATGGGGAATAGTGACTTGTACCGTATTTTACTCTAAAAAAGTACTATAAAAACGTTGAGGGTTGCATGCCCATGCGCTCCGAGAGGTCTGCATGTCCTTCACTTCTTTTGAGTAATAGCATGACAACCGGGAATACCGAGCCAAGAGCTATTTCTGGCAATTGAACAAGTGTCCGCTGATAAACAAGCCAGCCAGCGATCTATGGGGCTCACCGTACGTCCATGCCTAGTTTGCTTGCCTCCGCCGGCCATAAATACACGGAAGCCAGCTACAACATCGATCGCCACACACATCCATCCATCCCTCTCCATCGATCAAGAAATAAACAAGATTCGGCCAACTTACTTGCTAGTTCACCAATGGCCTCCTCGTCGTCCTACTTCCTGCTTGCAGCGGTGGCGTTGGCAGCACTGTTTGCCGTCGGTTCGTGTGGCACCGAGCTCACCCTCACAATCGGTAAGGACTCCAGCTCCACCAAACTATCCCTCATCACCAACGTCGCCATCTCCGAGGTGTCGGTCAAGCCGAAGGGCGCCACGGATTTTTCGGACGACCTCAAGGAGTCGCCAGCCAACACCTTTACCCTCGACAGCAAGGAGCCGATCAAGGGACCTATCTCCTTCCGCTTCGCTGCGAAGGCTGGTGGCTACCGTGTTGTCGATGATGTCATCCCTGCTGACTTTAAGGCCGGTGCAGTTTACAAGACCGGCAAACAAGTCTGAGTAATGGACGCATGTGCTCTTCTAACGCATAGAGATTATATTGACCTCCAAAATAAACTTTTTCAGAGAGACCGATGGTACAGAACGAGCATGCCAAAAATTCATTTTCTATGCTTGTTTTGTGGTAGGCTACCACAAAATAAAGTATACTATGTTCTCCTCCCGCCTGTTGCTGTTGAGCTATATATGCACACTTTACAATATTGTTTATGTATGGTAAAATAGTATTTGTGGACCTTCATCTAGATGGCTATGTACTTTGGTTTTCTAAACTTCTAATACATATATGTATGTGAGAATCAATAAAGCATGTTTACCTTGTGTTGCATGTCAGAAATGCAATGAAAGTTGAATTTACACGTGATCATTTTCAACACAAATTGCTCAATGGACCAAACCATGACACGAAAATATTATCACAAACCAATTAATACATAATTTAACTTGGTGAACCGGTCTTCTCATATGGCCGTCACTACGTTGTGTTGTCAAGGGGTGTGTTCTGAGAAACAACTAGGATTCTAAACAAGCCAAACAAAAAAATTGAACCCACAAAAAAGAGCACCTAGAATATTCCGTATAAGGATGGCATTTTTGGAATCATGAATTATGTTTATTTTTGTAAAATTTGACTATAGTTTTATCTTGGCTAAAGGCTAGTCAGGGCCAACAAATTATGTTTTGTTTTATTCTTGTTGCAAGTTCCTCATTGTTTTCTAACATTTATATACTTCTCCTATTGTAACTAATTTAATTTTGGATAATACCATGCTACTGTAAAAAGGATTAATGGACATAGACCCTTTTTAATTACAGAAGAAGACCGGACAAGTCACTGCTTGTGAAAATCATCATAAGTAGAGCATAAGGACAATGCCCACCTGACCTATGTAAATGTTACTATATATAGGGCGGCCATATTAAGTCACCATCCCTGTCAATGACTGTAGATACATGGACCTAGCCACAACTCTTAATGGTTTTGGTGATTGAAATGGTAACCCAATCACTCAGACTAAGGTGGTGTTTGTATCCAATGACTAAAATTTAGGAGGTGTGTCGGGAGGATGTTGTATGGGATGTTCGGATACTAATAAAAAACCAAATTACATAATCCGTCAGTACTCCACGAGATGAATTTTTTAAGGCTAATTAATCTATCATTAGCAGATGTTTACTGTAGCACCACGTTGTCAAATCATAGACTAATTAGGCTTAAAAGATTCGTCTCGCAAATTAGTCACAAACTATGCAATTAGTTTCGTAATTAGTCTATATTTAATACTCCATACATGTGTCAAAACATTCGATGGGACAACGACTAAAATTTAGGAGTGCAACCAAACACCACCTAACATGTATGCTAAGATGCATTTCATGACTTTTCTTAGATCACACAAAGATATTAAAGCCATGATAAAAACAAGAATAAATTGGACTTGTCTTATGAATTTGGATTTAGAGTAAATAAAAATTATATGATGTTAGGTTCAAGTTGTAAATATTTTCACACGAACTAAAGTCTAGAGGAGAAAGATATGGGTAAATTCCAAAACATCAAAGTGTGCGCACCATTCGAATGTTCACAGGATTATATGGTCATTTTAATTTGGCTGGACCAAGTATTTTTGCAAAATCCTGTAGTTTAGTTCAGAAAATTTACATGACAGTATGGCCATAGAAACAACGTTTGGAAGAAGGAGCTGTGGCTCAAATACCGAAGCATCAAAGTGCGCTCAACATTCTGGTATTCACATGATGATCAAGTGTGAATTTGTATTAGTCAAGTGAAGTATTTTTGCAGAATCTTACAGAGCACGTCACAAGCTTCCTATACTGTACAAGGTGATTTGAAACAAAGTTGTAAGCAAGAAGTTATGACCAATAGTTTAAAAGGCAGTTTCCTGAAAGTAGTTTCAAAGGATGTTCCGATTTGAAGCATTTTTGGGTCATTATACGAATTGTTCATGGGCCACCTGCCCCAACAAGAGCATTGTGTGGGCTTGAACCATGTTTTTTACCCTAAACCTAACCCAGCTTTGGAAACCCGAGAAATGGCCCTAACTGGCTCGATGTGTCCAACGGGCGAGAGTGGTCCAAAAATTTTACCCCGACAATCTTTTTGGCCTCGATCTGCAATTTGATTAGGTCTAACTGTATCGTATGCCAACACCAAGAAGCAAAGCACAAAGTATTGTATGATCACACGATGATCCATCATTACCATTTTTTGTGTCGCCGTACCATCCGATGTTCACAAAAATGTTACCATTGTTCGTTGGTGCAACGTCCAATTGTATTCACAGGATAATCCAGTGTTGACATTTATTTCACCATATCATCCCGTGTTCTCAGGAAGTATGACCACTGGAGGAGCATGTTGGCCCGCTTGGGGCTATTTATACCTTTCCAAACGGACATTTTAAGCGGGTTGGGGAGTAGAGAAGTGACTGGGATTTGCTAGACTTGAGGAAGATACACTCCAATCAGATATGAGAGCTTAGTGATTACATCAAATCGTCGATCTTGGTGAGAAAAAAACAAGTGCTTGGCACGTCCGGAGAAAATTAGAATAGAATACACGTTCAATCCAGGCCTGTTCGTTTGGGCGGAGTGGAATTTTTCATCGCGCTAATACTGAATTTTGAAGACACATCCAAAACTAGACAATGAGTGGGTGAGACCTAGTTGGGTGTGTGTTATTCTTTCCTTCTTTTACAGTATAATAATAATAACAACAACAACAACAACAATAATAATAATAATAATAATAGTGATGATGATGATGATGATGATGATAATAATAATAATAATAATAATAATAATAATAATAATAATAATAATAATAATAATAATAATAATAATAATAATAATAATAATAATAATAATAATAATAATAATAATAATAATAATAATAATAATAATAATAATAATAATAATAATAATAATAATAATAATAATAATAATAATAATAATAATAATAATAATAATAATAATAATAGATAGATAGATAGATAGATAGATAGATAGATAGATAGATATGGATTGCAGTATACATAAATTAGTGTTGGTCAGAAAATTAAGTTGAAAGATTTGAATTTTGACATGGGAGTGCATTGTGTGATGGGGAATAGTGACTTGTACCGTATTTTACTCTAAAAATAGTACTATAAAAACGTTGAGGGTTGCATGCCAATGCTTTCCGAGAGCCCAGAGCTATTTCTGGCAATTGAACAAGTGTCCACCGAGAAACAAGCCACCCGGTGATCTATGGGGCTCACCGTGACGTCCATGCCTAGTTTGCTTGCCTCACGCCATATATATACACGGAAGCCAGCTACAACATCGATCACCACACACATCCATCCATCCCTCTCCATCGATCAAGAAATAAACAAGATTCGGCCAACTTACTTGCTAGCTCACCAATGGCCTCCTCGTGGTCCTACTTCCTGCTTGCGGCGGTGGCGTTGGCAGCACTGTTTGCTGTCGGCTCGTGTGGCACCGAGCTCACCCTCACAATCGGTAAGGACTCCAGCTCCACCAAACTATCCCTCATCACCAACGTCGCCATCTCCGAGGTGTCGGTCAAGTCGAAGGGCGCCACGGATTTTTCGGACGACCTCAAGGAGTCGCCAGCCAACACCTTTACCCTCGACAGCAAGGAGCCGATCAAGGGACCTATCTCCTTCCGCTTCGCTGCGAAGGCTGGTGGCTACCGTGTTGTCGATGATGTCATCCCTGCTGACTTTAAGGCCGGTGCAGTTTACAAGACCGGCGAACAAGTCTGAGTAATGGACGCATGTGCTCTTCTAACGCATAGAGATTATATTGACCTCCAAAATAAACTTTTTCAGAGAGACCGATGGTACAGAACGAGCATGCCAAAAATTCATTTTCTATGCTTGTTTTGTGGTAGGCTACCACAAAATAAAGTATACTATGTTCTCCTCCCGCCTGTTGCTGTTGAGCTATATATGCACACTTTACAATATTGTTTATGTATGGTAAAATAGTATTTGTGGACCTTCATCTAGATGGCTATGTACTTTGGTTTTCTAAACTTCTAATACATATATGTTTGTGAGAATCAATAAAGCATGTTTACCTTGTGTTGCATGTCAGAAATGCAATGAAAGTTGAATTTATAAGTGATCATTTTCAACACAAATTGCTCAATGGACCAAACCATGACACGAAAATATTATCACAAACCAATTAATACATAATTTCACTTCGTGAACCGGTCTTCTCATATGGCCGTCACTACGTTGCGTTGTCAAGGGGTGTGTTCTGAGAAACGACTAGGATTCTAAACAAGCCAAACAAAAAAATTGAACCCACAAAAAAGAGCACCTAGAATATTCCGTATAAGGATGGCATTTTTGGAATCATGAATTATGTTTATTTTTGTAAAATTTGACTATAGTTTTATCTTGGCTAAAGGCTAGTCAGGGCCAACAAATTATGTTTTGTTTTATTCTTGTTGCAAGTCCCTCATTGTTTTCTAACATTTATATACTTCTCCTATTGTAACTAATTTAATTTTGGATAATACCATGCTACTGTAAAAAGGATTAATGGACATAGACCCTTTTTAATTACAGAAGAAGACCGGACAAGTCACTGCTTGTGAAAATCATCATAAGTAGAGCATAAGGACAATGCCCACCTGACCTATGTAAATGTTACTATATATAGGGCGGCCATATTAAGTCACCATCCCTGTCAATGACTGTAGATACATGGACCTAGCCACAACTCTTAATGGTTTTGGTGATTGAAATGGTAACCCAATCACTTAGACTAAGGTGGTGTTTGTATCCAATGACTAAAATTTAGGAGGTGTGTCGGGAGGATGTTGTATGGGATGTTCGGATACTAATAAAAAACCAAATTACATAATCCGTCAGTACTCCACGAGATGAATTTTTTAAGCCTAATTAATCTAACATTAGCAGATGTTTACTGTAGCACCACATTGTCAAATCATGGACTAA